TTTCTTTTACATTTTTATTGTAATAAATCTGAAAGATATAATTAATAAATATACCTAATTGTATATAACACTGATGTTGCAATCAATACGATATCTATGTTGCATTAAATTAGAAATTCTAATTATTATTAATTAAATTAGTAAAACAATAAAAATGATACCTTCTGTTTACCTTAAACTAAAATTTCACATGAACTAGCTCAAGTCAAGCTAATTTATTTTAGCTCATAAGTCAGCTTAACTCGAGTATAAAATATAGTAAGATAAGCAAGCTCACGAGCTATATAAGCTGACTTGTAAGCTTACATTATAAATAAAAATCTAAAAAAAATTTTGAAATAATTGAAATAATTATGAAAAATGATTTTTTTCAAGAGAATTATCTTTAAAATAACTTTTTTCAATAAAAATATTTCTGAATAATTCTTTTAAAGAGAAATCCTTCTGAAATATTTCTTATAAATGAAATCGCTTTCAAAGTATTTTCCTTTAAGAAATATATTTCTAAAGTAATTTCTTTTAAGAGTTTTATTTTCAAAGTGATTTCTATTAAAAAATTTGATTTTGTAATATTTTTTTTAAGAGTTTCACTTCTAGAGTAATTTCTATTAAGAAATTTGCTTTTGTAATGAATTCTTTAAGAGTTTTGCTTCTAGAGCAAGTTTTATAAAGAAATTTATTTTCATAGTGAATTCTTTTAAGAATTTCACTTCTGTAATGAGTACTTTTAAGAATTTTACTTATGGAATATTATTTTTGAAGTAAAATACTTCTACTGTTACTTCTAGAGTATTTTTTTAAAGTTAAATGCTTTTATCATATCGTATCTTTGAAAAAAAATGCTTCTGAAATGTTATTTTCAAAGTAAAAACTTCTATAGTATTTATTACCTTTAATATAAAATGCCTTCAGAGAATTATTTTCAAAAAAAATCACTTTTCAAAACAATTTCTTCAAAAAAAATCACTTTTGTAATACATTTTTAAAGAATATATTTCCAGATCATTATCTTTAAAAAAAATGCTTATCAAGTATTTACTAAATGTGAATTGATTTATAAATAAAACATAATAAAATTTATATTAATTTAAGTTATATAATGAATCAAATTTAATTTATTTGCAAAAAAATAATTAAAAAAATTTAAACAATTTTAAAATAAATATAAAGCATAAACTAAAATAAATACATAATAATTCTTTATATAAAAAAATAAATTACTCTAATGTATTATTTTTAAAAATAAATTTTATTCTCTCATTTTAACCATCATTTAAAACACACATATTTATAAATTGTTTCACTTTTTAAACTGCATCAATTTTGTATTACCAAATCTGTTCTACCAAAAATATTCTTTCTATAGGTGCACTTGTAACTAAAAAATAATAATTATAATAAATTTTTAATAGTAAATATGGTCTAGTGTAAAAAGATTCATATCTCAGAAAAACGTTAATAGAAAAAATTTTTATTATGTAAATTTTTTTTATTTAAATCATATCAGTACATTTTCGGAAAAATGAAATATGAATATTAAGTTAAACTATGCAATCGTTATCAAAATAACTATAGTCATCAGGATCTTTAATTAATTGCACATTTTTATCAAACCCAAAATATTTCTTAGCATTTTTAAGTGTTTTTCTCTAAAACCCAATTATAACTTTTGAATAAATTTTTGTTTTAAACGTATTTAGAAGTGTATTTTAAATGGATAAAAGGTTTGAATGTGGATCTGACCTTGCAACCTCGCCCTTTATAACTGCCTAAATACATTCAATTGGTTGAAATTCGCAATGATAGGAAGTGGTAAAAAAAACTTGATGACTGTTCTGTTTTGCTATTTTGACATAAGAAAATGACACCTTTTCTTTATTAATTTGAACTAATTCCAAAAGTTTCAGCCTTCGTAATTCATTAGAAAAATCAATATTATGAGCAATTAGCCAATTAATTATTTCTTGTTTTTTTTTGTGCTTGAAGTTGGAATACTTTTGACCTGCCATTTATGATAAGTTACCCCATCCATATGAATATTTACTGGCCCATAATTCTCATGAAGTGTTTTACAAAGAGTCGAAAAAATATTCTCAAAAATTTCTGCATTAAAGTTTCCATGGTAATCCACCTGATTGGGAATGATATTAGCATTTTTAACAATATCAGAAACATCATTTCATTCATCAGCATTGTTTCTTTTTTGTTCTCGACTTTCTGGTGGTTTAATTGTTGGATCCCAAATCTGAACAGAATTCAGAACAAGTTCACCATATAGTTTATTAGAAGGCCCGTTTCAGAATACAATTATGACTCCAAAAATAATTACAGTCAACCCTTGATATAACGAATTTTATGTCCTGAACTTCAACTTCGCTATAGAGCTATAGTGAATTTTTTAAAGAATTTGATTGGCTAGTTCATTATAACGAGGGTAAATTTAATATAGTTGTCCAAAAAATTCGTTATATAAAAATTCGCTATAGAGAGGTATGACTGTACTAATAATAAGTTATCTTATAGTAGCAGTAGTTATTCAGCTCAAAGTATCGAATAAGTGATTTATTCAGTATCACATAATAATTATTTTTATAATCTTTTTCTTTTTTTTTCCACAAAATAATTTTCTTTCTTAAATTCTTTTCTCAATAAACATGCAACATTTCTATTTAATTCTAATTGAAATGCAAATTTTAATAATGTAATTTATAAAATCATAAAGATTATTATGTTTTAAGAATTAGCAGGTATAAATAGATTTTATAAAATTTCTTTAATTTATTTTATGAAATTATCTTAATAAAAGGCATCATAATTAATGTATAAGACCATTGCAAGAATTATTCAGATTCTAGTAAAAGCAAGTAAAAAAGTAAACAATTATTATAAATAGAACTATTATAAAAGTTATCCTACTTATATTAAATAATTTATAATAAAAAATTAACTTGATAACACGATTTTAATGTCTGATACACTTGTATCTGAAAAAAAAATACTGGCTAGTTTAATTAAATTTTTTCAACAAATATTTGAATATTCTATTTTTCAAACTGAAACCCTAAAGTTAAAATGAATCCCTTAAAAGTGAGATTCTCAAATAATTATGTCATTATCCCTTTAAATAGAAAAACCAGTTTTTTCTTTTTTGGAAAACAAATGAAATTCACGGCATTTTTATTACAGTAAATGTGATAGAAAAGAGAAAACTGCTGAAAATAAATGATGATTATTTTATAAGTAAATTAATTTTTTAAAGTAATAGTTTGCGCAAAGCTTCATATGTTATAGTTTTTTTAAAATATAATATATATACATATATAAATATTAATATATACAGCATCTATAAAATGTTCTTGTGAATCAAGATGACAATTTTACACAACTCAAAATACAAGATGTTATTCTATCCTTAAAGCTAAAAGCTGTATCAATATTATTATGTGCACGATATTTTATGTTGACAAATTTAATTAAATTGACTTTTTTTAGAGCAAATAATCAAAAAAAAATTTTTTTTAATTCGATTAATTTTTGTTTTAAAATCATTTTATTCTAATAATCGATTAATGAAATAAAAAAATAATTATAAAAAATAATTTGCACATGTCACATCTATATTAAAGAAAAAAGCCATAATTAAACAGAGCGAATGTCCTTTAAATTGAGATCAGTTTAAAAACGCACAATTATCATTATTTTTGTAAAATCAACTCATATTTTAAAGAAAAGTCCGAATATACTTTAATATTTTTATTCATTTACAATAAAAGAAAACACCTGAAATGTCAAAGAATTAATCGACTAGCATATAAAATTATACTTAATAAATTATACTTTAAATTAATTCGATTAATTCTTTTTATATACCGTACTTTATAAATAATAGAGTCACGCAGTGGTTTTAATAAAAAAAGGTTATAAAAGTTATGAAATCGTTCTTTCGAAAAATCAAAAAAAAAAATAAAATCAAAAATCAAAAATCAAAAAATCAAAATATCATATAATATATACTGTATACAATAAGATGAGCAAAATCCATATAATGTTAAGAAGGCAGTGTAGGAAAAGAAAAGAATATCAAAGGAATCGTGATACTCTGATGCGCATCGCTTCCTTCCCAGCGCAACCGCCTACGAACAATTCACTGATAGATGCGTTTTATAATGGTTCCATAAATATTTTTGGGAATTATCCATAAATAATATGAATTTAAATACCCCATTCCTCTCCAGAAAGAAATGATAATTCCTCATAAGAAGTTCCCAGTTTTCTTTAAACGGATGGAAAGAGATACTACAAGATTTCTTTGAGATTATTGAAGCTGGTCACTGCTAATGATCGATTCCTAAGGATGTAATAACTGCAGGTCACTGCCAATAAGCCTACACCTAAAAATCGAAAGACTCTCTTTCCGGTATGATGAAGTAAAAGGTTCGGCATACGGTGCGACCATTCTCTGATGAAGAATCGATCTGGTACACGGAGCTAGATCTTTTTGATCTTTTGTTGAATGATTTTCTTTTCGCTTTGTTAATTGATAGTTAACGTCATCCCAAAATTAAGCTTTTATTTTTTATTTTAAACATACATACATTTTCCTGCACAATTTATTAAATAATAAATAAATATCAAAAAGATTAAAATTCTTACCAAAAAAAATTTTTCTTATAATAATGTTTATAAATATGCAAATTAACATATTAATCTTTGTAATCATCCATATCAGGTTACGCTTGTTACATTCATTATAAATAATTCCCACAGAACTATTTTTCTTTGTAAAATGTTCTCTTTTACCCACGCACAACTTCTTTCAACTTTTTAATCGTTTTGAACTTCGTGTTGTAAGCAACAACTGTTTTAGCGAATATATATATACCTTAGCTTTAAAGATGAAGGAAAATGGTTATAAAAAAATAACAGTTTTGACGGTTTTTAAGTAAGTTTTCATTTAATTTCATACTGAATGTTGAATGTATAATGCCAAACGGTATATAATGAGTCTAGAAGAGTACTTGGTAGTATAATTCTGTCCTTTTTCACTTTTTTTCAGTGAAAGTAATATTTATTCTACTTATGATATACTTGTAACACATATGCGGAAATATTTGGATTTTAAATGTCTAACCAAATTTATTTTTTTTCTTACTTTTTTTTCTAAAGAAAAGAAAATAATAAAAAAAATAGGTTATCACCTCAAAGAAATAAACTCTACATCAACTTATCAAAAGCCGGTAATTGGCAAGAAAAAATAATAACCATTAAAAAAACGTGCTTTATAAGCGAATACCTACTCCACCTCAAAGAACCCCATGCAACGAATGTAAAAGATATAAAACGAAATGTTCAGATGAACATGTTCGTTATCTTTCCCCACCTCCATTCAATGCCTTGCAAACTGTAAGTAAGATACAATGATACAATGTATCTAAACTGGGAGCTAAAGATGAATTTAGTCCCTTATATTCCAAAAAGTATTGGTGTTAAGAGTAATGTTTACGGTATCAGTATACTTTTATGGGAGATATCAAGCGGTCGTTCTCCTTTTTGTCGGTGTTTGTATATAGGACATCGGTTTGGCTGTGAAAATTTCACAAGGTCTTAGATCGCTCGGCGCAAGAGGAGAAAGGGAAAACAAGAAGTGCTTGCATGTTTTGAATTGGGAAAATAGTTGAAAGAAATTTCGAAAAGATAAAAACTTATTTTTTGACTACTAAATAACAACAACAAAAAAACAAAAATTACTTATTTCAAGCGTAATAATAGTTTTAATGTTAAATTAATTCAAGTTTATAATTATACTATTTGTTTACTTTGTTAAATTTACAATAGGTTTTCTAAATAAAATTATATTATATATTTTTTTTTTTAAGTTAATTTTGCTATTGAAATTTATACACTCTATTGCTATAAGGAAGATTCAATGTTACGTAATTTATAAATAAAACCTAAACAGTTCTTAAAACTTTGACAATTTAACTTTGACTTAGAGATTGAATTTATTACACATTGTAATTTGGGCGCAATTTTTTTTTAAATCTGTGACACAAAACAAAAAATCTCTCTTTAGAATAAGAAAAATAAAAAGGATAACATTTTTTTCTTATCTCTTATCTCTTGATATTCCTTGCATTAAATTTGTCTATATCGATGTTATTCTCAAAAGAACATGTTCATGATTTTCATTTTCATTTTCTAAATCATTTAAATCATTTGAACT